GTGTTTCCTTTTTTCTCCCCTGCCTTTGGTCCCTAAGTAAATTACTGACTCATCTTGAGTCTTGGGCTTTCTGGCCTTTAGATTGGAGCTACATCATAAGTTTTCTAGATTCCCAGACCTTGAGGTCACACTGGAATCACATCATCAGCTCACCATGATTTCCACCTTGCTCACTGTAAATCAGATCTTGGGACTCATCAGCCTCCATAATTGCAGGAACTTGTTACTTAAAATAAAAATAAATCAACTTTCTTTCTTTCTTTCTTTCTTTCTTTCTTTCTCTCTCTCTCTCTCTCTCTCTCTCTCTCTTTAAATGCAAATACCAGTGTACTTCAAAATGTTTTGAAAATATATGTTATTTTTTAATTCAGTTTTTCTATGACCTTTTGGAAGTACCCCCTTACAGATACACACACACACACACACACACACAGATACACACACACGGTTCCTTCTGGACTTTCTGTTCCTTATCCCACAAAAATATTGGAAAAGCACAGTTCTTCCAAATTATCTATCTATCTATCTATCTATCCATCCATCCATCCATCCATCATCTATCTTCTTCATCACCATCATCATCTTTATAATCTATCTTTAGTTAGATAGTTTTATAGATATACATAGCTTATTGGTTCTATTTCTTAGCAGAAGTCTCCTTAATAACACCTGGTCTGTTCTGCTTATGCATCTCTGGAACTAAGCTCCATATGACCTGGGATCTACCAGACACTGCCTATATCCACCTCCATGAACAGCTGAGTAACATCTACCTCGTATGCTTATGCCTGTACACATATCTTTGAAGACCACACATTAAACATCATGATATGCTATGTTAGCCATGCTATTGACCACCTGCAGCACTGCTTTTTCTGCTGTGTCTATCCTCTTCTTTAGTCATGTATCTCATTTTGAGTTCACTATCAATTCATAGAGACAAAGTGAGTATTACTTGCTATTGGATAATAGAAGCATCCCGAAGCTACCATATTTCACTGTTCCATTCTGCCTGAAATTAAAAAAAAGTTGGGTGATAATAATAAACTTTTAAAGTCATGTCTTTTATCATGCTTATTATAGTTTTGTTTGCAGTGGCTAAAGATGAAAATACTGGACAACTAGTAGTCTTCTATCTTATTTACAGGGCCAACTTTAAGTCTCTGGATGATGGTTTATGGTACTAAATTCAAATCATTTTAAAACAGATGTATAGAACCAGTAGCAGAGAATCTTGGGGGTAGATTCTATGGGAGGCAATAGTCAATATTCAGACAATTATTGACTTGTCCTTAGGAAATTCCAGACCAAATGTGGAGTCAGGAAAATAACCTCAGTATAGAATGGTGTGATGAAATAACCAGAGTTTCCGCTGAGAGCAAATTCTCAATTTGAGGGAAATGGTAAATAGAGAGGTTGTTTTCATATTTGCTTTCACTAATATTGACATGCACACTTCAATTTTCAAAAGTTATATTTAGGATGTCCTTTATATCTTTAAAAGTGCATGCAAACGATGTTAAATTTGAAATATATAGAAAATTAGAATACACTTATGAATACCTTTGAAATATATCAAATATTGTTTAGTATTTCATTTCTAAAACCCACACAATTTGAAAGTAATCTTTTTAAATTGTTTATATTCTGATACATTATTTTCCTCCAATATAATTTACAAATTTTCATTTTATACAATGTATGTTCTTATTTGATTTCTTCAGGAATATATATGTAATTATATATATATGATCCATTACATCTAATATGTCATATATATAAATAATCCAACATATGTGCCACTTTCAATGTACCTCGAACTTCATCAAAGACAATTTAAATATAGTTTAACTTAAGGCATGTATCTTTTCTACATATGATAATTTCTTACATTAAGTAAGGTGTACATAACATAGGTGCTATTATTTATTATTTTATGTGTTTATTGTAACATAAATGAGGATATGCTTATCTAATATCTCACATATAGACTCATTTTGGAGAAAAATTTAAGAAGTTGAAATGACTTCAACCATATCTAATAATACTGTATTCTCTCATTGTTATGCTTTTACATATATTTATAACAGGAAATGAAATTACAAACATTGAAAAATAAAAGAACACATAAAGAAAAAATGGCAAATTCTCTACCTCTTATTCCAAACAAATCTAGTTGATTTTAAAAATTAGCCACAAATTACCCAAGTATGCACAGATAGTACACAACTATATATATTTTTGATTCAGTTTTGTACTCTTATCATACTTGGAGATTGAAGTAACTGTCTATTGATATCTTGAGCAAAAAGCAAACCCAATTTATGGAGAAATTATGAGACATAGTTGAAATTATGAATGTTAATTTTTGTCTAGAAAACTGCATATTGGTAAGTCTTTACTACAATTTAAAATTGGAAGCCTAATTTGAGCTGTTATACTGCATTTAACTACTACATTCAACACATGTTTCTTGACAATATTTGTATTCTTCTTTAATATAAAAATCATAAAAACAACAAATACCTTGTAGATAGGATCTATTTTCCATATAGAATGCCTTAAATTTACTAACTAGTCTTGTGAAATAGTTCTAAAAGGAAAGTTTATAGCACTAAATGTACAATAATATAAAGGATAACTCTCAAAAGTACAATCTAACTTTATGCCTCAAGGAACTAGAAAAAGAACAACCTAAGTGCAAAATCAGCAGGAGGAAGAACAACTAAAGATTGGATAATGAAAGAGAGACTGTAAAAACAAAAGAAAATGCCTCAAATTAAGAATTGACTGTGTGAAGAGACAAATGACATTTATAAATCTTTAAGTAGACTAAGAAATAAAAACCCAGAAAACACAAATAAATAGAATTCAGAAATTAAAGAGATTTTACAACAGAAACTACAGAAATACAAAGGCTTTGGTAGGTGTCTGACGTAGTGGTTAAGAAGATTTGAGGAACCTTTTTCTTATATTGGAATGCCTGGGTTTGAATCCCATCTGCACTCATGATTCTGGCTTACTGTTAATGGGAGCCATGGATTGCAGCAGGTGATGGCTTAAGCACTTGGGTCCTTTGATCTCTGTGGGAGACCCAGATTGTGTTCTGTGATCCTGGTTTCAATATGGCCCAGTTCCAGCTGTTGTGTTCATTTGGAGAGTGAACCAATAGATGGGAGATATCTGTGTGTCTATGTGTCTGTATCTCTGTATTCTTCTGCCTTTCAAATGGACAAAAAATAAATACATAAAAGAAAAGATTGGATATTATAAAAAATCTGTATGTAAAAAAGACATATAAAGGATAATAAGAACAAGAAACAACTATACAATAGTAAATTAGATAACCTAGAATAAATGCATAATTTCCTGGAAACATACAACCTTCCAAGAATGATCACAAGGAAATAAAAAAATCTGAATAAACTCAAATACTGATAATGAATCAATAATAAAATCTCTCATGAGGAACCAACTACTTAATGTTTACACAGGTGAATTCTACCAAAAATTTAAAGAAGATTTAGCACCAGTGTTTCTGAAATTCTCAAAAAATTGAAGAGAAAGAATACTTCGAATTTTATTTTCTAAGTTCATCATTACAATAACAAAGTCAGAAGAGAACACTACAAATAAAAAGAAAATTATAGGCCAACATCCCAGATGAAAAGAAATGCAAAAACCTTCAAAAATATTAGCAAATGAAATTCAACAATATAGGAAAATGATCATCCTCATGATCAAGTGGGATTTTTCCCAGGGTTGCATGTATGGTTCAACGTGTATATAGAAATCAACATATATGATATACCCTAAGGTCATCTCAAAAGGCAGTAAGTTTGACAAGGGGCCAGCACTGGCATAGGAAATAAATCCACAGCCTGCAGTGCTGGCATCCCATATGGGAACCGGTTCAAGTCCCGGCAACTCCACATCTGATCCAGCTCCCTGCTAATGTACCTGGGAAGCCAGCAGACAATGGTTCAAGTGCTTGGGCCCCTGCACCTATGTGGGAGACCTGGAAGAAGCTCCTGTCTCCTGGTTTCAGTCTAGCCCAGCTCCAGCCTTTGTAGCCATGTGGGGAGGCAATCAATGAATGGAAGATCCCCGCCCCCTCTCTTTTTCTCCCCTCCTCTCTGCAATTCTGCCTTTTTAACAAAATTAAAATGATTCTTTAAAAAATTATCAAAAAAGAATATAACAAAGCCCGACATCCATTCAAGATAAAAAAAAAAAAAAGCTGTAAACCAATTAGGTATTGAAGGAATATACCTGAACACAAGAAAGACCTTAGATGACACTCTCACAGATAATATCATATTTAATGGTGAAAGGCTAAACGTTTTTCTTCTAAGATCAGAAATAAACAAGGATACCCATCCTTATTGCCTCTGTTAAGTGCACTACTGAAAGTTCTAGCCAGATTATGCAACCAAAATGAAAAATACTTCTAATCGTGAAAGGAAGACGTTAAATAAGTTAAATTGTCCCTGTTTGCAAACACAATTTTATATATAGAAATATAAAAATATATAGAAAATTATAATGACTCCACCAAAAAACCCTTTTAAGGACTAATAAATGAATTTAGTAAGGTTACAGGATACAAAATCAACATAGAAAGATCAATAGCATAGAAAGGTCACAAACTAACTATAAAAAGAAATCAAGACATCACCTACAATAGCACCCATATCCTATGTAGGAATAAATTTAATCAAGCATGTGACAGACTTGTGCACTGAAAACTATAAAACATTAATATAAGAAATATAGAGTAGTTATAATTAAATTGAATGCTGTATCATGTTTATGAATTTGAAGAACCAATATTGTTAAGATATATATTCTACTCAAAGAAATTGACAAGCCCTATCAAATTTTTAATGACAGTAAAGATGTACTGTTAAAAAAAGAAAATAAAATGACTTGGCTCAAAAAATAAACACATAATTGAAAACATTGATATTTATTGTCAGATGTGTAAACAGAATACATACTGGGTTTAGGAGAACTGTGAGGAAAAGTTCACCTCCTCTGATACTTTTATCCAATTCTTGAGGTCCTCCTGGATACTCTTTGTAGAAAATAGTGTGTGTGAACAACCCACAGGTCTGCCGAGGAAGGACCTAAGAAAAAAGAAGGAAGTGACACATTGATAAGATTTAAATTAAAAACTTCACTGCTACTTTATAACTTGAGTATAAAAACTGCCATATCCTATTGAGTTCTTTGATCGCTGTGGCCAACACCTTATTGTAGTCAAGTGGAAGCTGGTATAATTATGTACATATTCAGTGAGTTGCCAAATCAAAGCTATAGGACATGTAAGTTGAAGAATTTTCACTCAGTTCAGTCAATCTAACCTACCAGTTGAGTTATGTAAAAAGATCAACCAGAAAAAAAAATTTTCTGAGCTTTTGGGATAATTTAATAAAAATGGAACTTCTCCAAGGTTGTATTTTCAGGCTACTAGCCTATATACTTTACTGGCTTCTGAGATCCAGGCTTGCAATGTACTCAGGTTCTGTAGTTTAAAACAGTTTTCATCACCGCTTTCACATTTGTCTTCAACATTCTGAGTTTAGATTTTATTGCTGCAGTAGTAAAATCAACTAATGACTGCTACTGGTATATTCTGTGGTTAATTCTGTCATAAATCTGAATGTTCCATAGAAAAGTAAATAATCTCACTCTAAAAACTGATTTTGAGTAATAAACTACTTATAATTGAATGGAAAAATGCACCCAATTGCACAGAGTAGCTATAATTTTATTTATTCTTTCCTTAATTTTCATAATAGTTTGTATTAAATTAAGATAAATGAATGCATGTAATAAAGGTTAAAGGGAACATTTCCATTTCATAACCTATGAAATAGCTATACAATCTAATAAAGTGAAAACTGGGTTCTTTCACTTCTATTTAAAATTATGTAAGAGTAACTCTTTTTATTCCTTCTGGATTTCCATGGTTATCAGTACACTATTTGCATCATCAAAAGCTTCATTTAGATATGAGGATTCTTTATGTCTTTCAGTGCCAACTTCTAACAGAATATTTAAAGTTTCATGATTAATGAATATTGAGTACCAACAATGGTTAGGCAAATGCGCCTTTTTATTGGTTTCAGGTAGTTATTAGTTAGATATATGGCTGAATAGATAAATAAGTGTAATGGCAATACAAATAATGGATTGGAAAAATGTAAGTATTTAAAAGATAGAATAGAATTTGAAAACTCTGTTTTGCAGTTTCTGATTAATGATGAAAATGTGATCTAAGACATAGAAAATGGGTATGGGAAATTTAAAAAACTATTTTGTCTCAAAGTAAATTATATAATTTTTATTACAATGAATAATCATAAACTCATAGCAAATCCTTTCACTTTATTGTCATTAATAAGAATCGATACATTATTCTTATATTATTTCAGTTAGTATATCTGTAAAGACATTTTTCAAGCATACATGGGATAGGGAATGAAAAAGAACAACATCCTAACATCCTCTTGAGTGTCTAAAAAGCAAAATTAAATAAATGGATAAATTTAATTCTGAGATCCTATTTATTTCTGCCTGTGGATAGTGTATGATCTAGAGGTATTTTCTTGATCCATGGAACCCCACTAAGCCTGTCAACCTCTCAGTAACTACTAAAACAAAAAGACACCATGAAATGCCGCAGTCGAGTGAAAGACTGCCTAGACAGAATTTCAACGCGGTGGATGCTCTATACAAACTCATTCCTCCTATTTCTCATTGGCCTTGGGCTCCCCCAAACCATTCCATGGCTTGAAAAAAAAAAAAAAAGCCAGAAAGTGTAACCAGCCACCACCCTGATATGGCAGAAATTTCTATTGCTTATCTTAAAGAAGTCTGATGACGGGGCCCAGCGCCATGGCTCACTTGGTTAATCCTCTGCCTGCGGCACCGGCATCCCATAAGGGCATCGGGTTCTTGTCCTGGTTCCTCCTCTTCCAGTCCAGCTCTCTGCTGTGGCCTGGTAGGGCAGTGGAGGATGGCCTAAGTGCTTCAGCCCCTGCACCCGCATGGGAGACCAGGAAGAAGCACCTGGCTCCTGGCTGCGGACAGGCATATTTCTGGCCATAGCGGCCGTTTGGAAGGTGAACCAATGGAAGGAAGATCTTTCTTTGTGTGTCTCTCTCACGCTAACTCTATCTGTCAAATAAATAAAAAAATAAATAAAAATAAAAGAAGTCTGATGAAGTTACAACCTGAGAGATAGTGATCACCTGCTCTCATTTCATGTGCACACTAGGAATCTTCTATACAAACAGAAGAATGTGCTCACCATGATGCTATTGTGAATGAAACCCTTCCTGTACCGTGCAGGTTTCAAATGTGGATACTCTTCAGTGCTGGTGACCTGAATACCCCAGACCTTCTTCCAAGCTGCATAGAGCTGAAGATGAACTGGGTAGACCCCTGAGTGATGTGGGGCCACAGCATAGCCCATGTTGGTTGGTATTCCATGTTCCTGAAAGAAAGCCAGAACATCTTGATGGAGTATGGTCATTAATTAAACCAAATTTTTTTCACAAAAATCTATTAAGGACAGACTGATTTCAATACTACATATGAAAAATAAAAATAATGAGCAACACAATTTTTTTCTTTCTGCAACTTATAATCTTATAGAGCCCCAGTGATTAATCCACATACTAATTACTTTGAGCATGTGGTGTGTGTGAGAGATGAATTCTGAATTTTCAATACATTAAATTTTGGGGGAAGATTGGAAGTAAACTTGACCCTATCTGAGATAGATAAAAGATAGATAGATATATAGATAGAAGAAAAAGAGGTATCATTAGAGCTAGTGCCTAAAGTTGTACAATGGAAAAGCAAAATATTATGTGTAGTGCTGGCATCCCATATGGGTGCTTCTCTTCTGATCCAGCTCTCTGCTGTGGCCTGGGAAAGAAGTGTAAGATGGGTCATGTCCTGGGTCTTTGCACCCAGGTGGGAGACCTGGAGGAAGCTCCTGGCTCCTGGCTTCAGATCGGCACAGCTCTGCAGCTTTCTGGGAAGTGTACCAGCGGATAGTAGATTCTCTCTCTCTCTCTCTCTCTCTCTCTCTCTCATTCTGCCTCTCTGTATCTTTGCTTTTCAAATAAATGTATAAGTCCTTAAAAAATTTATGTGCGTGTTTATGTGTTGAAGAAAACCAGAAAGGTAAGTTTCACCATACAGTGATGAGCTTTACAATTCAACTGAGGTGTCTAGCATTCATTCTACTGGAATAGTGTAGATAAGGAAGCTCTTTGAGCATGGACAAACACCATCTTTTATGTTTTAGAATGATAACAGGCTGAGATTAAATGTGAGGGGAATATATATATCCAAGCCATGCCTAGAAAACTATTTGTCTTGCACAGAGTAGGTGAAGAATTGAACTACTGACGCTCACACTAAAGGTGAGGGAAATAATGCTGTTGAAGAGCCAGGGAAATGTTAAGATTCTTCCCTTAGTTTGAAACTTAACAACTCAATTTATTTTTATAAAACATATACCACTTTACTATTAGTTTACCTTGAATAAATAGTTGTAAAGAATAACAGGCATAAATTTAAAATAAGAATATGAAAAAATTTTCAAAGAATGGCGCTACATTGCTTGTTACATAAAATAGAACTTCAGTGTTCTAATTTCTGCTTTATATTTCTCCCTTTAAATGCTTATCTGATTATAAAGACTCCTTGTAGGGTTGAATCTCATCAATTGGAGTTATAAATGACAATGTACGGTCATATATGAAACCTGATTGAATCAATAAACAGAACACAAAAGTGTTGACAATTGCCATTTATATTTTCTATTACATGGTACACAGCATAGTAAAAGAATTCAGTCTGGTATAATAAGCAAGCACTGAATGAATGGATCACATATCTACAATGCTTAAGTCATATGCCACACTCAACTCAGAAGATGGGCTCTAAATATTTCACAAGTCTTCATCATTCTTCCTTTCATTGAATGACCCTCATTGTATAGCTAAATTCACCTCTCTTTCATCAAGACAATGTGTTTTCTAACATCTATTACAATAAATGACTCTCTATCAAGGCTGAATTATGAAATCAATGCTGTAAAATGAGCCCAAGTCTTTTGCTAAGCACTAGGGAAAATTCATTTCTTGGTGTGCAGAAGAAATATGCTTCTTTGCACGAGCTTGCAACTTTAAAAAAAGGCAGGGTTGGAAAAGTGCAGAAACACAACCACAGGTTGGGATAGGCAACTGCAGACAATCCAAGACATCACTGAAGAACATGTGCTGTATTAGGAAAGATTTAATTCTCTCTGGTCTGCTATATGCCCCCAGTGAATGGTCATAAAGTGTTCTGAGGATGACCAGTCATGTGAAAACAAGACTTTCCAAGCATGCAGATATATCAGGTATGAGACACTACCTCATGACAGAAATCTAGGATTAAGGCCTTCAGACTCCTCTGTCTGGCAGACAGAATCTGTGTGGCTACGGCCGAGAGAGGTACTCCTGATTCATAAGAAACAGAAATGTTATTTTCTTATTACTCTCTAAAGTGGTTCATATTGAGGTTTTATAAGTCATCCTATATATCCATAAGGAAATCAACAGTGTATGGTAGTCCTCACAGTCTTTACTATTTTGATAGTCCTCGTTTTCTATCACCATATAACTATTTCAAATTTGGGGAGCAGAATGTTAGATAAATATGTGAATATCCTAGAAACAAAGAACTGAAAACTAAAATCAGTAAAAAGAATTGAAATATCAAACGTGATAGCTCTTCAAGAAAAAAAAAATGACATTTCACTTTTGACAGGCAGTAAAATGAATTGCAGAACTTTCATAAAAAACCAGAAGGTAAAAAGCAATTGATCTGGTGAGTAGGAAGGAAGGGGCAGTAAAAAGATTTTATGATATTTATTGATTTCTGGGGGCTCAGTGCTATACTGTTCATAAGGTCATCTTATTACACCAGCAACTGGAGCTCAATCAAAATAGTAAATCACACAAGATAATTACAAGTTTATACTTTTTCAATCTAAATGATAACACATAGTGAAAAGTAATTCCCTAGTAACTCTTTTCTTATTATCAAGGAGTTTACTGAACTAGAAAAGCTTCACTTTTTTACTGTCCAGAGCTTAAAACCCATTTCACAGAGACTTGGCCAACTAAAAACACAACCTACACATCTTGTTCACCCAAGATCACAGAAGTTACAAAATTCAATAGGCTTTTCAATGTACATATAAGAAATACTTGAAACTCATAAAAATGTAAATGACAGAATAAGCAAAGAAACTCAAATGTGGCTTATAGGATCCAGGGATTCTATGATATGATATGATATGATATGCCACCACCAATATTTATTTATTTATTTTTAAGATTTATGTTATTTATTTGAAAGAAATAGTTACAGAAAAGATCTTGCATCTGCTGGTTCACTTTCCAAATGACCGAAAGCACCAGAGCTGAGCTGATTTGAAGCCAGGAGACATGAGCTTCTGGGTCTCCCATGTGGGAGCAGGGGCTCCAAGACTTGGGCTATCTTCTGCTTTCCAAGACCACAGCAGAGAGCTGCATCATAAATGGAGCAGCTAGGACTTGAACCAGCGCCCATATGGGATGATGATGCTGTAGGCTTGGGCTTTAACCTGCTGCACCACAGCACTGCCCCCCGCCCCCACTATTTATAGCATAGTTTGACTTTATCTAATTTTTCTACTTCCATTAAATCCCAATTGCTTAGGAAAAATAGATAGCGTGGTAATTTAGAAACTATAGAAAAATATAACTTTTCAAAAATTAAGAAAAATATGCTTAGCAATAAAACTCTAATAGCAACTGAAATGAACAAATTTCACTTTTCCTTGATCATCTCTACTAATTGTATCTACTTGTAATTGCCCGACACCTGGTAATTATAAGTGTTTCTATATTTGTATATAATGTGTTCCTAATAAAAACACTGTGATATGGACTGCATATAATAAAATGCTAAAACTGAGGCTTAGAGGAAACTTGTTTATTTTCACAAGCATTGGAGCCAGGATTATACCCATCCCCTTTAAATCCATAGGCAGTGTTTTTGCTTTTTTAGTATGTTGCTTCTCCTTGTTACTCCACTTCCCCATGGTAAGTAACTGCAAGTATTTTACCTTTAAAAAGGACTTTATTTTAATATATTTATTTCTGAACTGGAACATGTATGTACTTTATTTTTTGTTTACTTGTAGAAGTTATTAAAAAGTATAATTTCAAAACCCTCTGCAGGTATTATTTTTCAAGCAAATGAGATTCAGCCAACCAGAAATACTCAAAGAAATTTTTGAGGGCAGCAGGAAGGCCCAGGCTAAATTTTGGCAGCTCGTGGCTACTGCTACTGGCATGTCAGCTCTTGAAAACAAAAGACTTTTTTGAGGTCTATTTGGTGCCCATTTTCAGGGCAGAATTGGAGGCTTAGTGTTTCTGTCAGGATTCCAATGACAGTGCCAGAAATGGTAGCTTCCTTGGGGCACAGTATTAAAGGTCTGTGAATCCCTGTGGGAATACATCCTAGAATCTGCTCTGTCAGCCTTTCCAAAGTTTTTGAAAACACTTAAGTCACTGAATAAAATTTCTTTTTTACAAGAGAACTTAAACAGGCTTCTCTTCCCAGCTTGGAAACCTGACTTGACAGAGACGGTTTTGCCCCTTCTAGTAACTGTAACAGATTTAAGTGGTTAGAGTGTGATATCCAGTTGTTCCAATTCCAGAGGCAGAGTTTGGTAAAGAATTTTCCAGTATTTATTCAATAAAAGTGCTTGATGTATGACTAAAACCTGTTTGTTTAGCTGGTTACTATCGTGGGTACAAGGTCTAGATTCTACCTTCATGAAATTTGAATAATGGAGATAACTATATAACTCAATTCGATAAATGCATCTTAACTCTTTCTGCATTTTGATCTAAGAACATTTGAATTTTTTAAAAGAATAATTGTTATTTTGAACTTCTAAGCATTTTACTAGCAAAATATGATGTCTATTTTATGAATATCTATAGAGGTTGAAAATCATCATCTAACTAATATTTTATACATATTGAAATAGATAAATAAGAAAGTATTACATTATGGCTGGGAATTTTAAACTGCCACAGTATATTATTAGTCATAAAGCAAATGTATGTCAATATAATAAATTATGTCTAGGAAGCTCTTGGTAAGAATGGCATACGGATACTGACTACTTGGGCTTCAACTGAAAGCTCTAGTGATGTGGTTATATATGAGCAATTTCTGGCCCATTGAAGTTATAGATATATGGCTTGCAAACCACACCAAAATATATATAGGATGAACTTATATCTTCATTATTAGCAGAATGTCTGGTACTTTTTTGCATTTGATATATATTTTAAATGGAATGATATATATATATATATATTAGATGCTTAGTAAAATTAATATAAAGGGGAAATAAATGAAATGATGACTACA